GCACAAAATAAACGTTTGCGTGGAAGCTTCCACTGGCTCATCTACATCAACACATCTGGTCTGCTATGTCACGTGAAGTCATGGGAGACTAACGTCATGAAATTCTTTTAAATGTAAGCCAATTCTTTAAACAGTTTGCAAAGAAGCAAACCTTCCCCTTCCCCTCCCCCAGTTTTCTTTCTTATTTTATATATGTCTTCTTGTGGCATATGTACCAAAATTAAAAGTATGAATTTAGCTGAAAACGGTGTTGGCACAAGAGCAATTGAACAGTGAGCTCCATTTTCAAGTGACTAATCCTCAATATTACTATGTTGCAATTTAACAGCCAGTGATTCATAAATTTTATTTTCCAAACTAACATGAAAATTTTGGTTGGGGGATTTGTGCATATGGTGACAACTTCTTTTCAGTTTCCAATATATGATTCCATAACAACTTTAAGAAATTATTTTCATAAACAGTGAACCTCTGTAGATTCACAAATGCAAACTGTGGCTGCATTGGCAGAAGGGTAAAATATTAGCATATATAAATAAATGAAAAGAAGTGGAGATCTTAATTATGGATCGCAAGTGATCTCCTTGAGTTATAATGCAGAAGTATTCCAATGAAATTCTACAAAATCAAAGGTAAAAGAAATGCACAAAACACTGTCACTGCAGGGCAAGAGTGGTTACTCAGGAGGCAGGGATCAGGAGGATCAGGGTTTGAAGCCAGCCCTAGACAAATAGTCCGTGAGACCCCAATCTTGAAAAAACCCTCATAAAAAAGGACTGGTGGAGTGACTCAAGTATAAGAGTGCCTAACAGCTATAAGGCCCTGTTGTGACAAAAAAAATAAAAAGAGAAAGAAAGAAAATATTGTCACGTATGTATCCAATAAAAAATGGATTTGGTAATATGCCTGTCACTTGTACTACCACAGGAAGAGTAATAAGGAACAACAACAAAACAAAAACAAAATAATGAACGACAGTAAGTGTCAGATAATATATTTTAAAGAAGATATGTTGTGATCTAAGAGGCCTAGATAAATATTAAAAGAAAATGTTCAAATATAATTGTTCTTTAAGGGTGAAAATATCTTATCTATGAGAGGAAAAAAGTTGCCTGTATCTGAAAGGTCAGTGATAAGAAATAAATACCAAAGTATACTACAAAGGCAAATCCAGGTGCACTCAGACGCAGGAAATAAATGAGCAATGTTTTTTAAACTTTTGAATGAATTTTCTATGACTGTAAAATTACCAATCAATTGGCAGTATTTGAAACACTTCAAACACTAATGGATTACAAGAAATCTTTATTTTCATAATTTATCAATCACTGTACTAGACATTTAAACAATAGAGTTCTAAATACAGGGATAAATGATAGGTTAAGAGAAAGAGGAGAGACAGAGCGAGAGAAAGAGACAGAGAGTCAAAAAGAGAATAGTACATCTATTTTTTATATAAGGTGTAATATTTTAAAAGAAAAGTAGATAATAACATAAAGATAAATTGGATAAGAGAAAAATAGATGATAGATGAGTTTTATAGTGTTCTTAAATTAAAAATAAATAAAAATTAGTCATACATCTATATATTAATATCAAATCAAAATGAAATATTTGAGAATTTACTGTTTATAATGTTACCAAAATTACCAAATATTTAGATGTAGCCAGTATATTTAAAGATAACTGAATGTAGAACATAAAAAGTTGTACTACTTTCATAGTTTGTACAAAATAAGTATTGCATACATGTCTGTTCTTTCAAAATAAATCTTACTGGATTCATCATTTACAGTTAAAAGACCTAATAGTTAGTATGGTTATGATTATCATCATCATCTCACCATGATTTTGTAACTGTAATATCTTTTAAACTGTGTGTCAACAGTTTAAGAATTTTTCTTCAATTCCTGATTTTCTTATTTTGTTCTGTTTATTTTGCTTTACCATGAAAAAGTATGTGAAGATTAATTCTGAGTGTCAATGAACTAGTTCACAGTTTGTCCAGATATTTATTCAAACATTATTCTGGCTGTTTCTGTTAGGATATTGTTGAATGAGTGTAATATTTAAATCAGTAATCTGAATAAAGCAAGTTGCCTTTCCTAATGATGGAGGGTCTGATCTATCAGTTTTATTCCTGAGAGAATAAAAAAGCTAATGCTTCCTCAGATAATAAAGAATTCTTTTCATTTACTTCATTGAGGAAGGTCATTCAATTTTTTGGAATGGAACTACACCATTGGCTTTCCTGTTTCCTGAAACTTCTAGTAGGACTGACTCTCTAACCTCAGCTCTCCTGGGTTCCTGCTAATTGACTTACCATGTGAATCTCCAGACTTGTCAAATTTCATAATGGTATGATCCAGTTATTTAAGTTACCTCTCTTCATTATTTAGACTAGATAGATAAGCATGATATTGCTATCCGTCTGTTTGTCTTGATAACCCTGACTAATAAAAGAAATAAAATTTCTCAAATATTTTTACTACATGTTGTCAGTAATCTATTCTTATTTTTTAATGTCACAGATTTATTAATGAATTTGAACTATGTATCCATCTTAAATTCCTACTAGAGATATATGTCGCATTTTATATATTGTTGAAATTTAAGAGCATCGTTGTTAGTATTTCTGCACTTACAGCCAAAAGAATAATTGGCTATGATAATCACAAATCACTAAAAATAATCTTTAAATTTTGTTTCTTTTTGATCCACTGGCTAAGGCTTTAAAAAAACAAAACCAACCTTAAATATTTTTTGCAGTGCTTAGACTTCATTTTACCGACTTTCAGGTTAACTGCTGCTACCAACAAGGTGTACTTCAGATCTGGTACTCTATGAATCTACCTTTGATGAGCTGGAAAGATGAAAAGTTGAATCAGCTCTTTATCAACACATTTCCTAATCACCCACATGCTTTCCCACTTTCTTTTATTAAAGGACTCTCTTGTGATATTATTTTTAGGAGCAGGAAATCCACAGGGAAATTCCATGTAATATAATCTCATTAGAGGTATTTGTTCAATAGAAATATAATCACTAAATGCTTTATTTAGTCAATATTATATGAAAATTGAGGTTGGGCGTGAGTGGCTCATGCCTATAATCTTAGCTTTTTGGGAGGCTGAGATCAGGAGGACCAGAGTTCAAGGTCAGCCTGGGAACATAGTTCATGAGAAACCCTATTTCCAAAATAAACAGAGTCAAATGGACTGGAGGTGTGGCTCAAATGGTAGTGTGCTGGCTTTGCAAGTGTGAAAATCTCAGTCCCAACAGAAAATACATGAAAATAGATATTTTCACAACATTATCCAGATCTAATTTTTATTATTGTTACTGCACTATAAATCAAACAACAGAAAGTATGACCGTATATGTATACATATGCATATGTATAGTTATTTACTATGAATACATGTGAAGTTTGAAAGAATAACATAGGAATTTATTCATAGGAAAAAATTAATACATAACAACTGCTTAATAAACCATTAGAGAAATAACATATATTATCTAAAATGCATTTAGGTTCACACTTAAAGCTACTAAAATTAAAAGTACAATTTAAGATTCAAAAATATCCATTATATTTGTGTAAGTAAGCTGCTCATTCAAAAGATAAAATAATATACTGCTTTAAAAGTTTTCACCTACTCATTGGTGCCTGAGTTTTATTATCCATTAAAAGAGAATGAATTATATTACCAAATTGTTACTTAAAATCATCAAAAATAGATATGTGAGAGTTTATTTTTTATTCTAGTAGTTTTATTAAATATAACTAAACCATGATGCATGTTGAAACTTTTCAAATATTTTTGTTAATTTTGTTTTACTTTTTAACTGTTGTACATTGATAGTTCAAGTTCAGTAATTTTGTTTAGAGGAACATCTTTATTAAATTATGTCCACAAACACTTTTAAAAAATCTCAAAATGAACATTTTATTATAAGCCATCCCTGGTTAATCAAAAAATTTTAAAATTTATAAAACAACAAAATTAACAAGATTATTCAGCATGATTGACTGGGATTAATCACAAGTAATACAAGAATGGTTCAACAAATGCAAAACAGTTAACATGATGCATCTCATTAACAGCATGAAGGACAAATACCATGTGACCAGTTCAAGTGATGCAGAAAAGGCATCTGAAAAAAATTCAATATTCAATATTGAAAAAATAGGGTATAAAATGAATGTACTATGAAATAATAAAGATCATGTATGATAAACCAACAGCTAATATTTTGAATGAGAAGAAGCTGAAAAAACTCTGTCTCTGTGATCAGGAATAAAGCAAAAATATCCTGTTTCACCACTTTTATTCAAAAGTAATGAAATCTCACCATAATATTTCTTAAAAATGCAGGTGAAATTTCAATAACAATTTACTGAAGCACAACAACGTTATCAGAAATAGAGCGATCAGAACATACTTACAAAATGCATCATTTTTATTTGCATCTGTATAAAGAAAAACATAATTTTTATTAAAAAGCATAAATTAATTATGCTAAATTCTAGTCTTTATATGGGAGATTTACATGTCTTTATGCTTGTTTGCTTATAAACATTCCAATGTCAAAATGGACAATGTAGAATTAAATGTATTTTTTGATATTAAGTATTTTATACTGAATAGTTCTCAGCATACTTATTTCAACTTATAAGGTAAGTGCCATTCTCAGTACCATTATTCAGATCATGTAAAAAACCCCACAATTTAGAAGACATAATTTGCACTGAGTATTTTCACAGGCAACTTCATCTTAAAGTACATGAGCACAAAAACCTTTATATTAATATATCTGAATCAGATTTAACTTATATGATCTGAGCTTTCATTTCTACTAATATTTAAATTTTTTAAATACTAGAATTTACAGATATTGGAATGCTAAGTAGAGGGACAATAAATATTCTTATTGTGATTTTTTTTTTTTGAACTGGAGCACCAGTACTCCAAAATAAGTAAATAATGCTTTTAGAATTACATTTTGTGACATAATAATTGGGTATTGAATATCTTCTTAACAGTCTCCTTCACATCTTTGTTCCTAAGGCTATAGATCAATGGGTTAAGCATGGGTACGACCACTGTGTAAAAGACAGAGGCTACTTTGAACATCAGCCATGAACTTTTGGTGGTAGGAACACAGTAGAGAAAAAGAATAGTACTATGGAAAATAGTAATGGCAGTTAGATGGGAAGCACATGTAGAGAACGCTTTGTAGCACCCACCAGTTGAAAGGATTTTCACGACTGTGACAAAAATGAAAAGATAGGAGGTCAGAACAATCATCATGCTAGATATTTCATTGAATGTGGCAAAGACTAAAATGATCTTCTGACTAATGTAGGGGTCTGAGCTAGACACAGCAACAATAGCAGCATGCTCACAGACAAAGTTATTTATGAGCTTTGTTCCACAAAAGTATAAGGTCAACAAAAAGTGTATGAATATGAAAGAACAAATTATACCCCAAAAGTATGATACAGCTACCAACAAAGAACACAGCTTCTGAGACATTACAACCACGTAGAAGAGAGGGTTACAAACAGCCACAAATCGGTCATAGGCCATCACCGCCAACATGAAGGTTTCTGTCACTACAAATACACATGCAAAGAAGAATTGCATGATGCAGCTTGTGAAGGAGAGGGTTCGATCTTCCACAATCAAGTTTTCTAACAGTTTTGGAGTTACTACAGTAGAGTAACAGAAATCCACAAAGGACAAGTGACTAAGGAAAAAGTACATGGGGATGTGGAGCTTGGGATTGACCCTGATCACAGCAATCATGCCCAAGTTCCCCAGCACGGTGACTGTGTAGATGGACAGGAAAACCAGGAACAGGGGCACCTGGAAGTCTGGATATTCTGAGAAGCCCACAAGGATGAAGGTGACTCCAGCAGTCTGATTTTGTTTGATCCTATGGACAAAATAGAAATGTTGACCTAGAGAGGTGAGAACCTGTATTTTTAATAAAGAAAAAGGAAAAAAGAGGTATTGCTGAAAATATCAGGTTACCATTTCTATATTATTTCAACAGTTAGTATATAGTTCAATAGCTTTTATATAAGGAATAATAATTGTGTGACTTAAATTATTGAAAACAAGATAAAGACAGGAAGATGAAAAAGTAGAATATACCCTGTTGTGTTTCAAATAATAATGAGACAGCTTTGAAATCCAACCTTACGCTGAGGCACTGGACTGGAGTTAACCACTTTTAGAACACTATTATATATTGCTAAATCACTATCAATGTTAATGATGAGTCTTTACTCTAGGAACCCCTTTTAATTTTATTTTCTATTTTAGATGATCTAAGGGCTAAGGTGTCAGGGGCTATGATGATTTTGCTCCCTAATTAGTAGCTTTTACACATTTTCCTTGTGACCTATGTTCCTTCAGTGAAGAACAATCAGCTAACACTACTCTCAGGCCAAACAAGCCATTTTTAACACCCCACCAACACTTTGTGGAAGCTATGCAGCAACCATAGCTGCGTACTGTCAAAGTATAACTCTGCACCTATAGGCACTGTTCCAGCCATGACTTTCCCAAGCAACTTTCACCAGACTTTTTGCCATAAGAATTCTTGAGAAACTCTAGATGTTCCTTCAGCTATTTCTATAGAGGAAGCTTTTACTTTGTGACCCAGTAGAAAACTTATGATTGGTATAAATTCAGTTCTTCATTTGCATGAAGGACTTTGGTGACTGGTGCAAGTGAGCTCCTCCACGTGCAGGAGGCAGTGTGCTATGATTGGTGAGAACATGGTCCTTCATTTTCATGAATGACTACTTTTAGTGATGGAGTCATCCTTTGCAAACCCCATATCTGGTTATATAAGAAGGCTGCTCAGCTTTACTTTGCAAACCAGCCTTGATAAACCCTCTGGTACTGCTCCCTGTTATTGTAACATTAGGCCCATTAAAAGCTTCCTCCCCAGTGATCTTTTCTCCTATTTTTGATCTTTATCATTGGTAGAGTGGTTTGAGCTGGTAACACAATGAAAATATGGCAGAAGCAGTGGGACAAACACAGTTAACACGAATGTGCTGCCTGTTGCCTCTTACTGTTGGCTGCAGCCACTCCCTGCTCCTGGTAGCCGATGATTACAATAGCTGTCACATGCCCGGGCCATTGGTGGTTAGACCCCAGAGCAGTAAGCCTGCATCCTGAGTAGCTATAGCCATAAGTTTCTGGCTTCTGAAGACTGGAGCAATAAGAATTTGTCGCTCAGGTCTTGGAGCTATGTGCTCCTGGATCTGCCAGTTCAGACCCTAGAAGTTAGGTACTCAAGGGCCAGGAAATGTCACTGCTAAAATGCCACTTCTCTTCATCTACCCATGATTCTTTCCTGGGTTAATGAAAATATCCATCTGTGGGGGAAATGCATAGTATAAATTCCTATAGTTTCTTCACCATTTTTTTTCTCAAAGTTAGGAGACCATTGAAAAATTTTAAATGTTAACTTACTTTTAAAGTGCTAAATTTAATGTTTTATTGGTATTTTATGTGCCTTTTCTATGCCTTTTTACTTCTAATAAGTTAACATTTTAACACATTCTAGAACTGTACTGTGATAATACACTAAACATTTTCACTCATACTGAACTTATTTGAAAATATTGAACTATTTTCTTTAATAGTTTATTATGTTACTTATTAAAATGTAAGTGCAGAAAATATGTGCCTGCAGAAAAATATGTGCCTGCAGTGATAAAATAGGTAAAGCAATAAGGAATGAAAAGTTCTCTATTTTCTAATGAGGTAAGTTTCAAAAGAAAGATAATTGACAACCATTAGCAACTACAAAAACATTAACAATGCAAATACATTTTAACCCATTGCAAAAACTGTGTTCTGCTATATTGAATCAAGTTTAAAGTTTTACCAAAGACAAGAATAGAGAATATCTGAAAAGAGAATCATCTCAAACAGGACACCAAAATATACCTGGACATCACTAGTAATTACCTCAATAATAAAATGAAAAAGTTAACAATATAAAATTTAGACCCTGTGTAGTAGAAACTTTTACAATGAGTTTAAAGAATATAAATCATAATATGACACACAGTAGATAATGCAGCACTACATTTGTTTGAATATGAGCAGTTGATGTGGTTTAAAAAATATTATGTCCTTACAAAAATCATTCTCAGCCTTGTACAGCTAGCAACAGGTGAACACATTTAGAAATGCAATGTAGAAAATTAATCTACTGATCCTGCATGAGAGGATTTCATTTGGCACTTAGTGAAAGACTATTACTCTATCCATTTCTTCATCATGCTTTCTCTGGTTCCCAAAGGTAAAGATAACTTTGAAAAAGATCAACAATGGAGCAATTCTTCTGTGGCAATAATATCAAAAGTCTTAGCATTACAATGTTAGATTATGGCCATATTTCCTAGTTATGTTCCTATTACTGTAAACTACTCTAAGGCAGAAGGGATGACACATGTAGGTAATCCCAGTACATGGAAGGGTGAACAAGGAGGATTGTGAGTTCAATGACACATGGGATACATAACAGACTCCCTCAAAAGGCAAAGAAAAAATTAGGAAATTGAATATTATATGTAACATTGTGAAATTATTCCCCATAATCATTTAAACCTGACAATAGGGACTTTAGGGATTCCCTTATGTTTTATTAATGGAAACAAAAAATCTATATCATCTGCCTGGCTTTTCAAAAAGCTGTCCAGGTCTAGATATTCAATCACAGGTACTCTAACACATTCTTCTCTAATCCTAGAAGATTTTTAAACCTTCTAGGCAGCACATGCTCATCTTCATAAAGTTTATTTTCCTATACTACTAATGATATTAGAAATTTTGTTTAGGGCTGGAGATGCAGCTCAAGTGAGAGACAGCCTGTCCAGCAAGCATGAGCCCCTCAGTTCAAGTCCCTATACCATGAAAAAAAGAATGCTGTATTGTACCACCTTCTATGATAAGCATTACTCATTACTCCTTTACTTTGCAAAGCAAACAGTGAAGTTTATAATCACAATTATTAAAAACTTCGTTTTATCATTTACAGATAGGGTCATTACTTTTACTTACCTCAGAGATTATAGGAAATTTGAAGATTTTCTCCCTCTATTTGCTAAGATATTGTTTCATTGATTATACACAGTGAATATAAAATAAAATGAAATCATGATGTAACATTATGTATTCTTTCTTGGTGACACTAACTGCGTTTTGGAGGTTTTGGTTGTTGCAAATCTGTTATTACCTTGCAAAGGTTACTAGAACTCAACACTTTCATGCTGGAATGAAATAACAAAATCAATGAAATCAACTCACCTAAATGCAGAGGCATCTGAGTGTTGCATTACTGAAAATTTCTTTGCAAAAGATTAATGCAAAAATGTTTCTGCGGATTGTTTAATTAATAGAAATAGCCCTGAAACATTAGAGTGTATAGTTGGTTGGACATTTCATATGATATGCTTTTCCTATTGAGAAAACTTAGGAGACACAACACAAACAATTACATCTAAAAATGAGATACTGGTGCTAAACTATATAACTAATACATATCCTCATGTCTCTGGGGACCTGGAAACTAGAGAATATTACTGAACTACTGCCAGACAGCAATTAGATGTAACACTGTCCCATGGGATATTTTGTTTTTACACCAGTTTTCTAAAGTCTTGGAGCATTTTAATTATCAACTTTACTTATTAATCATAATGAAAAATGTATATTGACTTTACACAGATACAAAATACAAAAAGGAAAACAATAGGTATTAAAAATAGTCCATATGTATATATATACATACATATAATTAATTTGTGTTAAACTTATTTATTACATATGCATATTAGTATATTTCTAAATATATATTTGCCTAAATAGTAAGTTGCTTATTCACTATTACTATATTAATTATGAACGTATTATAAATTTTATTTCTGTTTACCACCCTTAGTTTTCTTTTTTTTATTATTATTCATTTATTCACATGTGTACATTGTTTGGGTCATTTCTCCCCCCTACTCCCCACCCCCTCCCTCTCCCTCCTCCCCCCTCACTTCTAGGCAGAACCTGTTCTGCGCTTTTCTCCAGTTCCTTTGTGGAGTAGAAATAAAAAAGACATAGCGTTTTTGCTAGTTGAGATAAGGACAGCTATACAGAGAGATTCTTAGCATTGGTTTCATGTACAAATGTGTTACAATCCAGGTTGATTCATCTCTAACTAATCTTTACAATGGTTCCTGATCCTCTTCTCATGTTGATCTCTGTAGCTTTAAGGTTTCTGTATTAGCTCCTCTGGAGTGGAGACATCAAATGCTTTCATGTTTTGGGCTTTCTACCTATCCCCATACCTTACGTATGTGTTCCCTGCTTGTCATGTGACCCAAGTCCAACAACATTGCTGTATCTTCCTTAGATCTAAAGACCGCATATGAGGGAGACGTGATTTTTGGTCTTCTGAGCCTTACTAAGCTTGCTCAGAATGATGTTCTCCAGTTCCATCCATTTACTTGCAAATGATAAGACTTCATTCTTCTTCATGGCTGAGTAAAATTCCATTGTGTATAAACACCACATTTTCTTCATCCATTCGTCAGTAGTGGGGCATCTTGGTTGTTCCATAACTTGGCTATTGTGAATAGCGCTGCAATAAACACGGGTGTGCAGGTACCTTTGGAGTAACCTGTGTAGCATTCCTTTGGGTATATCCCCAGGAGTGGGATTGCTGTATCATATGGCAGATCTATGTTTAGATTTTTAAAAGCCTCCAAATTTTTTTCCATAGTGATTGCAACAGCTTGTGTTCCCACCAGCAGTGTACGAAGGTTCCTTTTTCCCCATATCCTTGCCAACATATGTTGTTGGTAGTGTTTTTGATGATGGCTATTCCTACAGGGGTGAGGAAGAATCTAAAACCAGCCTTAGTTTTCTTAATAGAAAACAATTTCTGTTGGCCTTTCAAATATGCTAAGGTATCTCACATAATTATATATACTATTGGATGTGAAAAATACCAGATTATACACTTAATAAACCTATTTATGGAAAATGGTAGCTTATAGAAAGGATGATGCAGTTATGTATTTCAGTAACTCCATTAAGTCTTTAAAGATACACATGACAGCTAGGGGTACAATTCATGGGAAAAGCTCTGGTCTAGCTTGCTTGGGGCTGTGGTTTCAATTTCCAGCACCACAAGACATGAAAAGTATAAAATATATAAAAGATACGCCTAAGAAATACCAGAGTCTTGAAGACTCTAATTCTCTCTAGTGCAGTTTAAAATGCATTTGGACAGGTCTACTCCCTCTGGTGACACAGGGATCATGTTTATCTCACCTTGTGGATCATCATCTTCATGTTACATCTTGTGGTATCTTTCATAACTGAGGTCCAGGGAAACATGAACTGATTCTGAAAATATATTTTGAGAAAGCTCACCTCTTTTCAACTATTTTATTTCTTTATTTTTATTGTGTTGGGTGAGGGTACAGTGTATCATTTATAAAAGTTCCTATAAGGTACCAAATTATCATACTTGAATTGGATGATGTCCCCATATGGCAGCTAGGAGAATCAAAAGGAAGAGAGACAATTATTACTCTAAGAAATATACCCAAGGAATTGCACAGAAAAAGCAGTATGGATCTATGTTCAGCACAAATATTGACCTACATTTTTCTTTTTGCTTGCAGTGTATTTTTTAGGGCTTAGTATCAGTATAATGCAAGCCTCACAAAATCAGTATCAAAGTTTACCGTCTTCTTTCATTTTTGAAATATTTTAAGATTTACTGTTAAGGTTTCTTTAATGTTTGGGGCAAATTACCAGTGAAGCCATTTGGTCTTATATTTTCTTCGATGGGAAGTTTTGGTTAATAAAACAATCTCCTTTTTAGTTTTGAACTGATAATACTTTCTGTTTCTTTAGATTTTGATCATGATTTTCTCTTTCTTTATTATTTGATTGTGTTTCTATGAATTTGTCCATTTGTTGTAGGTAATACAATTTGTGTTCATATAATTGTTCACAGCAGTCACTTAGACACTTCTTCATTTCTGTGGCATCTGTTCCAATGCATCCTCTCGTTTCAAATTTCATATGATTTGGCCAATTTTCTTTACCTTTTCAAAAAAGCAG